GAATCAACTGCATGTAGCGCATGGCAGCCAGGAGAGGACCTCAGATCCCCAGGACTGACTTTATAAATGGTCGTTAGCTGCCCTATGGGCGCTGGAACCCAGGTCCTCGGGAAAAGCAGCCAGTGCTCTGAACTGCAGAGCCACCTCTCCAGCTTTCCCTCCCTGTGTTTGAGAAAGGGTCCAGTGTGGTGGCTTGAATGAAAATGGCCCCATAGGCTCATAGGGAGTTGCGTTCTTGGAGGTGTGGCCTTGTTGAAGTAGGTGTGGCCTTGTTGGAGGAGGTGGGTTACGGGGGAGGGGATGGAGGTGGGGCTTTGAGGTTTCAGAAGCTCCAGCCACGCCTAGTAGTTTAGGCTCTCTTCCCGCTGCCTGCAATCTAGTCGTAGAACTCTCTGCTATCTCTCCAGCACCATTTCTCCCTGCATGCTGCCATGCTTCCCATCATGACATTCATGGACTGGACTGTAAGCCTGCCCCAATTAAATATTTTCCTGTGTAAGAATTGTTGTGGTCATGGTGTCTCTTCACAGCGACAAAACCCTAAGACTCCCAGACTGACCTCTACCTGCAGCTCCCTCGCCTCTGAATTCCAAGTGCTGGGGTTAGAGCTGTGAGCCCTTGCACCTTCATTTTAATTATTATGTGAATGTTTAGTATTAAACATGAGCAAGTAATTGAATTGAAAATATACTCCATTGGGGATAGAGGGGGCTAGAGTGTTTGTTCTACAGGCAAGAGGACCTGTAAGTCTCCAGCACTCACATAAGGAGCCGTGTGGTGTGTGTGTGACCCAGAACTGATGTGCAGAGATTGACAGGTTGGTAAAGTTCACTGGCAAGGCCAGTCAGAAAAGCTGAAACTTCCCACACAGTGAGGATTCGTGTCTCAAGATGGTAAGGAGAGCAACAGAAAGTGTGCGTGATAGGTGTTGTTCCACTGAGGAAACCAGCCGGTTCAAGCCAAATTAAAGTAGAAAGGCAGGTTTATTGGGGGCTGCTCTCAGGTGGTCCCAAGGAACTGAGCTAGGGAAGTCAACATACAGACAGACAAAGAAGAGGGGCGTGGGGAGAAAGAATGTGGGTACACAGAGAGGGGGAATTTTGGGGGTGGGAATGGAGGGACCTAAATGTCTGGATTATATAAGGAAGAGCTTCTGGGGAGGAGAAGCTCAGCCTCAGGGCTGGAAAGCTCATACACTCACTGTCTCTGTGTCTCTGTGTCTCTGTGTGTCTGTCTGTCTGTCCCTCTCTTGCACTCACACATACTCTCCATGGGGTGGTGAGGCTGAAGTGTTCATTGTTTGCCTGACAAGCAGAAGGCCCTAGGTTTGATCCTCAGCAGTGCAAAGAAAATAATAATAATAATGAGCTGACTTGATTAAATTAAATCCCCTACTGCGAGTTGAGAATGTAGCGTAAGAGAGCACGCTGAAGGCACTGGGTTCAATGGCCAACCCCAACCGTGAAGTCAACTAGCGGGTGCCTCTGGTGTCTTAGCCAGCTTTCTACCACAGTGGCAACCTAGCTGGGGAAGTCACTGTGGAGGACAGAATCTTGATTTGGGCTCAGAGTGTGAGAGGCTTCGCCCCTGGTCATCAGCTGCATCGTATCTGGCATGGAGGCGAGTTGGGAGGCAAAGCTGCTCCTCATGGAGGCAGACACACACTCTGCTTGCATCCACAAGGAGGGGCAGGTGGGAGGGGCCGAGAACAAACACAAACACACCCTTCAGAGGCACACTTCCAGACACTTATTCCCTCCCACCAAAGCCCACATCCTAAAGCTTCTGTTGCCTCCAAGAATTCATTAAGGTCGATCCCACCCAGAGGCCCCTCCTCTGAACATCACTGCAGTCGGAGAGCAAGCAAACAACCACATGAGCCTTTAGGAAGACATTTCTTCGCCACACCGTAACATCTGCCATGTGCAAGGCCCTGGCTGTTCCCTAGCACCATGAGAAAACAAATAGTTTCAGAAGTAAAATAATTTGGTGGGAAGACTTAACCCAGTAAGGACAATTGCAACAGTAAGGGTGAAAGTCTTACTGATTCCTTCCACAGCTTCCAGCCATCTTCTCTGGAGCAGTGCTGGTTCACACAGGCGCTGCACCGAGGCTGAGCTAGGCTCTGTGCCCAGGGCTTCAGCACACTAGCTCAGACGCCACACCTGAGATGGAGGAGCTAACAGCACAGGAAGTTGAGGATGAGAGAGGGGTGGGTCTTTTACCTACCCTTCTCTCTAAACCCCCAGGCACTCACCGTGTATAGGGCCCTGTACTGGGCACTTAGACATGACATTGCCTTTGCCCAGGAAGGAAGACAGATGTGTGAAATATTCTCGTTGATGGGGTTAGAACACAGCACTCATATTACAGCTTAGGTCCTGAGGACTAGGGACAAAAGGAACAAAGAAGCTTCGGCAATAAATATCACTTCTCCCATGACACCCCTTGGCTAAGGACAGGCCCCAGGAGCAGCAGTGGACCTCAGAGGCGCCTATGTGGGAGACAGCCTCTGTGGCCTCCGAAGCAACAATGAACAAAGACTGTCGCCTCTCTGGGAATAGCAGGGATCTGACAACAGCCCGGTGCGGGTGCGTTTCATCAGTGTAGACATCCTTTCTAGGCTTTGAAGCCTGAAGTACTCTGCTTTGGCTGTCTACACAGATCAAATAAGCTGGACAGCTGCCATATCTAGACTTCGCTTCGTGGCTAATCCATAGTCACAGCCGGCCCCGTAACAATCCGACCAAGCCATCTGAGCAGAGGCAAAAATAATTCTCATAGGCAAAGATAGGCAGCTCCGAGTTGGAAACGTTAACCCCTCACTGCCTCTCGGAAGAGGGCGGGGATCTTGCTAGTATAAGGGGGAGAGGGAGGTTGTGGCCCTTCCCAAAAGCTGTTAGCTACCCTTTCCGATTCCGGAGCCCATCCATGACCGCTGATGAGAACTGGCTTTCAGAGAGGCAACCCCGTTTCAGCCTGAGGAATAGGATCTCCCCACTGCACAGGAAGCACCTTTTTAATCACAGGGTCATTCCAGGGGGAAACTTACACCCATCTCCCTATGTCCTCCAGAAATTCTTGTCTCAGGTGCCAACAGGAGCGGCCATCTAACCACAAATCCAGAAGCCGAGGGGCATCGCTAACAAGGATGAAAAATCTATACTTGAGTTCTAACATCTACTTCATGCCTAGCTGTGGTTTCCATGGAAATAGACATCTGCTCTAGGGAGAAAGGTGTGTGTGGGGGTGGGGTGGGATGGTATAAATGCTATAAAATAATCAGTGTTTTGAAGGATTAATTTTTTTCCTGTCACAACATTAATAGAAATATGAGATTTTTTTGGTGTGGAAATTTCTTGTATTTGGGGAGAAAAAAAAAGCATCACATGGGTGGGATCTTCCACAGACATCTCCAGATCCAGCACAAAGACTTCAAGACAAAGTGCTGGTTCAGAAGGTCCCAGACCTCTTGGCTTTGGAGGTCTTTGCCCAATTGTGTTACCGCTGCTTGTCAGTTTTCAGAGAGGGACTGTCTTCATTCCTGTCCAGTGTTTAAAATGATTTCTGAGACCAATTCAGAAAAGGAAGCCGTTGTGAGGCGTTTGTGAAAGAGAAAAGCCTGTCAGTGTGAAGAAGCGGCCCTGCTGCTTGCACACCAAGCAAGAACCACTTAGCCGGGCTGGGGTGGGGACAGAGGGAGACCGACTCCACGCAAGGGCGATTGTTGGAAAATATGCCTCTATAAGCATATTTCAGGCAATGGTGCTTTGCGAGTTTCGTGCTTTGTGTGTTGTCTACTGTCTGTATAATACACTTTTCATTGTCCTGTACGCCTATTGTATTTTTATCACTGGTACTTCCCCATGGGTTAACCAGATGTAGGATTCTTTTAAAATTAGGACTGTGTTTCCACAGAGGCCATTGTTCGTGTGGTTTAGCCTTTGGGAGCCCAAACCCATTAATAAAATAGTAAACTCAAATTAATAAAGCCCTCCTGCATAGGGTTTCTGAGCAGGTGCCTTCCACCACATGGGGAAGCAGGGCTGGTCAGCAGAGAGGAGGGGTCTAAGAGAGACAGGGTCAGGCTAATTTCTTTTGTGTCTCTGCTATAGTTCGGCTTTATCCAGGCCAGAGGGAACTGTGACCTTGTGGCTCCTTTTGTTTACATTCTCAAAGAGAGAGCCCAGCCCTGCTTTGGAGAGCACGTGCTTCCAGAACAAAAGCGGCGCTCTACTGCAGTCAGTGTATCTAGAACTGCCATCGCTCTTTTCCTTTCCTGTCACCTCAAGTCTTTGGCACTCCGTCTGCCTTTAAGCTCAGTGGCTTTGTTAGACCCAAGATCAGATTCCAGAGCCTCACGCTGTCCTGCATAGATTCCAGGGTTTCCAGCTCGGGGAGCTGAGGATGGAGAGAATGCAAATTGCCAAAGGAAGGACCACGCCCGCCCGGGACCTGTCACCACGAAACGGGTTAGCGACTGCGAGGTGGCACTACAGGTGACACGCTGGCGTGTGTCCATGGAAGGACGCCGAGGAGAGAGGACCGTGCAGGGGCGTGGGGTGGCATTGTCTTGTCACAGGGCAACCGAGCGAGCTGTGGCATCAAAAGGGACACTGCTTAAGGAGCGAACGAGCTTCGTGTGGCTCGGCAGAAAGCGTCCAGTTGGTCAAGGTCTAAAAGACCGAAGTAGGTTATGACCCGACCCCTCCCCTGCGCCTCGCCTCGCCCTGCACTTTTCCTAGAAATGGAGTCCCGTAGCCTATTCAGACCCGTGGCCGCGGCCAAGTACTTTTCCGAGCAGAGACCCCGGATTTAGTCCGGGCTCACACCTGCGGGGGAGACCCATCCCAGGAGCGCCCCACCCCTTGCATTGTCCTCCTGCCCCACCGGCCCGGACTACACTTCCCGAGATGCTCTGCTCCAGAAGGGCGGACCCTCCAGGCTTGGGGGCGGGACCGGCACGTGCCGTCACACTCAGCCAATGCGGAGCCCCTGGGCTGGGTCACGTGCCGCTGTTTGGCGCTTTTGTGCGCGCCCAGGTCTGTTGGTGCTCAGAGTGTGGCCAGGCGGCTGGGAGCGAGCAGGTGGGTGCATCCTTGGCTCGGGCGGCGGCGACGGCGGGACGGGGACGGGGGCACTCGGCGGGCCCCCGCCGCGGCCGCGGGGAGGGCGGGGGTCCCGGGGTCCGGCGGGTGGCGGGCGTCCGTCTTTTGTGTAGCGCTCGGGCGGAGCCTCGGCTTTTGTCCCTGCTCCCCGGGGACGCGGCTTGGTGGGGAGGGGTCGCGGCCAGCTGTGAGCCTCAGCCGCGGGGGCGAGAGACAATAGGGGGCGTGGGCCGTCGCCC